GTTTGGATAATTTTTATCATTTCGGTCCATTGGCAAATAACTTCGTGCATGACAAAATTCATGACTCATTAGCTATAGCCCACGATTTTGACTATTTTTATTCGTTTCAATCCATTAACAAATACTTTTGTGAAGCTCGAAATTCATAGTTTCATGAGCTATAACCCACAATTTTCAGATATTTTTATTCAATTTGATCCATTGGCAAATAATTTCCGGAAGCCAAAAATTCATGATTTCATAGCCTATGACCTATGATTTTGGCACATTTTAGTTGTTTTGACCGGTTGTTTCATGGAGGTAAAAATTCACGATTTCATGTGCTATAATCCGTGAGTTTTGATCATTTTTAGTTGTTTCAACCTGTTCTCAACTAATTTCGCGGAGGTGAAATTTCACAACTTCATGACTTATAACATACGATTTATGCCATTTTTAGTCTTTTTGACCTATTGACAAATAATTTTACGGATGCCAAAATTCACGATTTCGTGAGCTATTACTCACAAGTTTTTAGCCATTTTAGTCATTTTGACCCATTATCAAATAATTTCGTGACAACCAAAATCCACAATTTTGTGAGTTTTGCCTATTTTTAGTCGTTTTGACTTGTTATCACATTATTTTGTTGAGGCAAAAGTTAAAGATTTCATAAGGTATAACCCACAATTTTTTTTACAATTATTAGTCTTTGTGAAACATCGGTAAATAATTTTATGTATGCTAAAATTTACAATTACATGAGCTATGACCCATAATTTTTGGCCATTTTTATTCATGTTGACTGATTGACAAATATATTCGTGGAGCTTAAAATCCACAATTTTAGGGGCTACCCACAAATTTTAGCCATTTTAGTAGTTTTAGCCCATTGGAAAATAATTTTTCGGAGGTTGAAATTCACGATTTCATGAGTTATAACCCACGATTATGGGACATTTTTTGTCATTCTGATCCATTAGTAAGTGATTTTGTGGAGTCCAAACTTTATAGTTTTATGAGCTATAACCTATTATTATTGGCCATTTATAGATGTTTTGCCCTGTTGTCAAATATTTTTATGGAGTCCAAAATTCATGAATTCATGAGCTATTACCCACGATTTTTGACCATTTTTATTTTTTTGATCCATTGGCAAATAATTTTGTAGAGGTCAGAATTCACGATTTCATGAGCTATTATCTACGATTTTTTTCATGTTTGTTCATTTCGACCCATTGATGAATTAATTATCAGAGTAAAAAATTAGCGATTTTATGAGCTATGGCTCGCAACATTTGGTCATATTTTTATTCATTTCGACCCATTGGTAAACAAATTTGTGGAGGCCAAAATTCATGATTTTATTAGTTATAACCCAGATTTTTGGTCATTTAGTCATTTTCGATCCATATGCAAAATAAAATTTGCACATGTAAAAATTTATAATTTCATAAGCTATAATCTAAAAATTTTGGATATTTTTAGTCCTCTTTAGCAAACAATTTTGCAGCCTCCAAAATTCAAGATTTCATGAGCTATTTTTTGGCTATTTTTTCATTTCAACCCATTCATATATAATTTTGTGGAGTTCAAAATTTATAATTTCATGAGCTAAAAACAATGATTTCTCACTATTTTTATTTGTTTTGGTTTTGATCCAAGAGCAAATAATTTTGCAAAACTAAAAAGTCAAGATTTCATGAGCTATATTACCCGTGCTTTTTGGTCATTTTTATTTGTTTTGGCCCTTTGGTAAATATTTTTGCATTATTTAAAATTCATGATTTCATGAACTATAACCCATGATTTTTAGCTAATTTTAATCATTCCAACCTGTTCCCAAATAATTTTCACTAATGCTAAAAAGCATGATTTTATGAGTTGTAACTCATAAATTCTGACTATTTTTATTCATTTTTGTTCCACTGGTAAATAATTTTGTGGAGACCAAAATTCACAATTTTATGAGTTATAACCTATTTTTTATCATTTTAAATTATTCTAATCCATTGGTAAATAATTTCACGCATGTTGAAATTCACGATTTCATAAGCTATAAAAAATGACTTTTGCCAATTTTTAGTCATTCTGACCGATTGCAAAAATAATTCATGCAAGCTAAAATTCATAATTTCATGAGCTATCACCTACGACTATTGGACATTTTTATTCATTTTGACTCATTGGCAAATAATTTCGTGGGGTCTAAAATTCATGATTTAATGCGCTATAACACATGATTTTTGATCATTTTTAGTATTCCAATCCATATGCAAATAATTTCGCACAGCCAAAATTTATAATTTCATGGGATATAACCCATAATTTTTGGCCCTTTTTTCTTATTGATACCACTGACAAATAATTTTGAGAAGTCAAAAAATTTAGATTTCATGAGCTATAATCCATGATTTTTTATATTTTTCTCATTTCGATTCATTAGCAAATAAATTAACGGAGTTTAAAATTCATGATTTCATGAGCTATAACATATAATCAATTTTAGTAATTCTAACCCATTCATAAATAAATTTTGCTAATATAGAAATTCATGATTTCATGTATCTTAACCGATGATTTTTTGTCATTTATATACATTTTGACTCACTTGTGAATAATTTTACAGAGACCAAATTTCATGATTTTATGAGCTATAACTCATAATTTTTGTTATTTACAACTGTTCTAATTGTAAAACCCTGAAAATTTGAATATTTTGTGATAAATAATAATAAATTTATTATACGTTGATAAATAACATATTGTGATGTTTGAGTATGCTAGGAATTGATTTGAGATCAATTCAATGTATATATGTATATATGAGTGCAAATGCACAAAACATGCATGATGTATAAATCTGGAAAATAATGACCAGTGGAGAGATTTTGTATTTTACACACTGATACATTGTGAATATGGAAAAACTTAAAAGACCAAAGTTGTAGGTCTCTTCATCAGATTTCCAACAAATCTTTAATCAACTCATTCCGAGATTGGATACGAAAGTTACAACCAAAATACCGAAGAGTATGTTTCTAGTCAGACTGGGTTTCCAGTTTCGGGTTTCGGGTTTTGGCCTGTATTTATTCGGGTTTGCTGCCATATATATACATGTTTATACATGAAAAACACCTCGTTTCTTCTGTGTTCCAAACTGTAGCAGTCTCTCTCCTCCTCTCTCAAACCCTAGCCCTAAGATTGAGTTCTCGGGAGAGTTTCATGAGGCGAAAAGCGAGGAGAAGGCGAGATTTGCGGCGTTTGGCATCGAGGGATTGTTTGCTGATTGTTTCAGGGGTTTGTGCACATGATAAGCCAAGATTATCTGCATCCAAACCCTTCCCTTAATAAAGATTAAACTTTTAATGGTTAAAGTGGTGTTTTTCATGGTAAAGTTTAACCCGACATGATAAAGTTTAGATTTTTGATGATAATTCTTTAAATTATGATAGATCTATAATAATTCCTTGCTGTTTATGATAGAAATATGATCATGATCATTAGGGTTATTCATAATTTCGTTTTTAATTTATTAATCATGATTAAACCATGTTTAAACCCTAATTTGGCAATAAAATGATATTTTATGTTGATTAGAGATGCTTAAAACCCTAGGTTTGGAATAAAACAAGATTTGAAAACGTGAAAAAACAATTGTTACATCGGTTTCAAGTTTCATACAAGTATATTTATGTTAATTTTGTCGATAATTAGGGTTCTTGTAAAGAATTTGATTATTTGGATTGTTAAAATTGATTAGGTTAAATCAAGTTTAAGTAAATCATGAGATATTTTTTTGATATGTAGAAATAAAGTTTTCATCTTGTCATATGATTTATAAATGAAAAAATTCATGTTTTTGATGAGTTAAAATTTCTGCAAGTTTAAAACCTAAAAACATGTTATGCTTCTGCGCGGTCGACCGCCGCCCGCGGTGAACGCGGCGGTCGATCGCTGGGCGACGTTTTTGTGCAGGAAGCTCTATGTTTCTGCGTGGTCGACCGCTGGGTGATATTTTGTGCAATGTCTTTCTGCTCATTTCACGATCGACTGCGGTGGTCGCGACGGTCGATCGCTGGACCTGTTTGTGCATGTGCATGTTGTTTACATACGTTTGTGTGACCGGCGAGTTGTCTGGATTATCTGGTATTTTAATACACTGTAAATTATGTATTCTACACATGAGTTGATTATGGACATGAGTTTAGGATTCACTCACCGAGGCAAGAGTGTGAATAGTATATATGCATTTTACTTACATCATTTATTTGTATTACGCTCATCATATGCAGTCCTCGTGTTGGACATCTATCTATTTCGGCCCATGTGTTGGACCTTAATCATATGCAGTCCTCATGTTGTACATTTATCTATTGTGACCCATGTGTTGGACCTTAATCATATGCAGTCCTCGTGTTGTACATTTACCTATTGTGGCCCATGTGTTGGACCTTAATCATATACGGTTTTCGTGTTGGACATTTACCTATTGCGGCCCATGTGTTGGACCTTAATTATATGTCGTCCTCGTATTGAACATTTATCTATTGCAGTCCATGTGTTGGACATTCATCATATATAGTCCATGTGTTGGACACTTATTCAAGTTGTCTTATCTAATATGTAGCAGGTAAAGTCCATGTGTTGGACACGTATCTGATATCTGTCAGGACACCTTTGATATAGTTTGAGATGGAGTTGTCTTTTCTTATTGCTCCATGTAGTAGCTTTTGGATTTGATATTTAGCTATTCACAATTTGCGCTAATGGGATATTCGACATGCCTATGCTCATGTTGTGGGTTTCTAAATATCAACATCCATTTATTTCAGAGTAGATGATTGCTTATATGTATGTATTAACAAGTATTTTTCTTATATACGGGGAAAATGATCTATGTAGGCTATGCTTAATAGATAGAGCCTCCACTTTATTTAGTAGCCCTTCCTCGGGGACGGATGGAGGTAATCTTGCTAGCGCTCTGACGCTCTTGTTATTGTCCTTTTTTTAACTTTCAGGTGGCTCAGAGCATCGGAGGGCCGTAGGATGACGGGGTTATTGTATAATCGCCGTCACATGAGTTACTAGTAGAGACTCCACAGTAGAGTTATTTCCATTCGGACATTAGAGTTTTGTATCACATTTTGTAAAGGCTATGAGCCTTAGTTACATTTTCAGTTGTTTCATGTCGAGACATATTTATTTATTTCGGATGTCAGATGTATTTCAGATTGTTCACTGAGACATGATTTATTTATGAGATACTCTTTTCTATATCATGTATGTTGTAGATATTTCCTTTCTTTTACATGTTTTGTACATACACTTTACTTTGATTCCACTAGAGGATATTACTGTGATTGGTAAAACTTGTTGTTGCACAGTGTGGGTGCATGACAGGTTTGACGTCTCTGGGTTCCCATTGGACTGCAGCCATGTGTGAAAACAGGGGCCTCACAGTTGATATCAGAGCTCTAGTTCCAGTATCCTTAGGGTCATCCTGTGTCGAGTCGTGGAGCTAGAATAGAGTTTCTTATGATTCATGTATAGAGTCCGCTAGAAATTTCTAGAATGAGTGAGGATGTTATATACGTATATTCAAAAAAAAATTCCAAAGAGGCCAAAATTCATAATTTCATGAGCTATAACCCACGATTTTTTATAATTTTTATTCATTTCTACAATTAAAAAATAACATAGTCGTTTAAAATGCACCACTTCATGAACTATAACCAATGATTTTTGTCAATTTTTTTTACCACAAATTCAGGTATTAACTATAAACAATGATTTTTAGCGAGTTTTTTCAATTCAATCCAATTGAAAAATAATTTCACGGGGTCCAAAATTCAAGATCAACCTATGATTTTTTGCTATTTATAGTTCTTTTGACCCATTGGCAAAAAAAACTTTGCCAAATTTGAAATTCTTGATTTCATGTGCTAACACATGATTTTTGACCCATTGGAAAATAATTTTGCAGCATCCAAAACTCATGATTTCATGAACTATAACCCTCAATTGTTAGGCATTTCTAGTTGTTTCCACCCAGTGACAAATAATTCCGTGGAGTTCAAAATTCACTATTCTATGAGCTATAGTCAATAATTTTTGACCAGTTTTATTCTTTTCTATTAGCTAGAAAATAATTTGGCGGAGTCTAGAATTCTCAATTTCATGAGCTATAACCCATGATATTTGCCCATTTTAGTCTATTCGAGCCATTGGCTAAAAACTTTACAAAGTCTTAATTCATGATTTCATTTGTTATAAGCCATAAATTTTGGCCATTTTTATTCGGTTAGACCTATTAGCAAATAATATTTTGGAATCCAAATATCTTGACTTCATGAGCTCTAACACGCGCTTTTTGTCCATTTTTGGTTGATTCAACCCACTGGCAAATAATTTCAATAAGTTCAAAGATCAGGATTTCATGAGGTATAATCTACGATTTTTGTCCATCTTTATTCGTTTAAACCCAAGGGGAAAAACCTGTGAAGTCCAAAATTCACGTTTTTATAAGATATAAATCTTGATTTTTGTTCACTTTTAATAGTTCTAACCCATTCATAAATAATTTTGCAGAGTTCAAAATTCACAATTTCATGAGCTAACCAATGCTTTTTTGTTATTTTTGGATTTTTCATCTCGTTGGCAAATAATTCCATAGAGCCCAAAATTCATAATTTCATGAGCTACAATCGTGATCTTTGTCTATTTTTTTTCTTTTCAACTCAAGGGAAAATCCGAGAAGTCCAAAATTCACGATTTCATGAGCTATAACTCATGATTTTGGTCATTTTTAATCATTTTAACCCACTGGTAAATAATTTCACAGATGCTAAAATTTATGATTTTAGCTATAACCCACAATTTTTGTCAATGTTTAGTTGTTCCTACCCATTGGCAAATAATTTGTGTAGGCTAAACTTTATGATTTCATGAGCCATATCCTGCGATTTTTGCCATTTTTATTCATTTCGAGCCATTAGCAAATAATTTCATTGAGTCTAAATTTTATGATTTCATGAGCTATAACCATGATTTGTTACCATCTTTTTTCCTTTCAACCCATTGGCAAACTGTGGTTTAAATTCATGATTTCATGCACTATAACCCATGATTTTTTACCATTTTTATTCGAGTAGTCCAGTTCGCAAACAATTCCATCAAGTCGAATATTTCTAACTTCATGATCTATAACCCATGATTTTTTGCCACTTTTGGCTATTTTAGCCTATTGGTATATAATTTCATGAAGTCCAAAATTCTTGGTTTCATGAATCGTAAGTCATTGGTATATAATTTCATTGGTATATAATTTCTTTCAATAGTTTCAACCCATTGGTAAATAATCTTGCATACTTTAGACTTTTAAATTTTTATGGGCTATAACAAAAGATTCTTTTCAATTTACATTCATTTTGATCTAATGGCGTTTAAGCCTTTTCTTTAAAACTTGTTTTCCATGGACTATAACCTACGATTTCTATCCATTTTTGTTTGTTTTGACCTAATGGAAATTAGTTATTGTACTTTAAAATTCATAATATTCAGGGCCTATAACCCATGGTTTTTTATCAATTTTCATCCATTTCAAACCAATAACAAACTAAAAATTTTAAACCAATAACAAACTAAATTTTTTTTAAAACTCGCGATTTTCATCGAGTATAATCCACAAGTTCTATCCATTTTTTTTCGACATAATGGACATAACTTGGCTTACTTCAAAAGTTTTAATTTTTATGGACTATAACCCATGATATTTTTAATTTGCGATCATTTCAACCCAACGGCATTTGAGTTTTTTCTTAAATCTTCACAATTTTCTTGGACTATAAACAGTGATTTCTATTCATTTTTGTTTGTTTGACCTAATAAAACTTATTTTGCGTACTTCACACTTTGTAGTTTTCAAAGGCTATAATTTGGTATACTTCAAATTTTCAATTTTCAATTTTCATGGGGCTACACATGATTGTTTCTATTTTTGTCCATTTCAACCTAATGGTAATTAAGTTTTTTTTCCCAAATTTCACAATTACAAGGACTATAACCTCTGATTTGTATCCATTTTTTTTTGTCTTTACCTGATGGAAATTATTTGGCATACTTCAAAATTCATAGTTTTCTAAGACTATATACCCCACTATTTTTTTTCAATTTTTATATACCCCAATATTTTTTTCAGTTTTCATTCATGTTGACCCAAATGGCAAATTTTTTCTTCAAAACTCGCTACTTTCTTGGATTGTAACCAATTGCTGTCATTTTGATTTGTTTTGACCTAATGGTAATTATTTGGCATACTTTAAAATTTATAATTTTCATGGATTATAACCATGGTTTTTTTGTCAATTTTTATCTATTTCACACCGATGACAGTTAAAAAATTTTCCCCTTCAAAAATCATGATTTTCCTGGTCTAAAACCAATGATTTTTGTCCACGATTTTGTCTCCTCATAATGGAAATAATTTGGCGTAAAATTTTCAATTTCATGGGCTACAAACACATAAAATTTTCAATTTCATGGGCTACAAACACATAAATAATTCTACCCAATGGCAATTAAGTTTTTTTTTCAAAACTCACAATTTTCATGGACTATAAGTCTATAATCCACAATTTTGTCCTTTTTTTATTTAATAGAATTATCAAGCATACTTCAAAATTCATAAGTTTCATGAACTACAACCAACAATTTTTTATCGGATTTCATTAATTTCAGCCCAGTGACAATTAATCTTTTTTCCTCAAGACTTCCGATTTTCGTAGATTATAATCCACAATTTCTGTCTATTTTTTGACATAATGAAAATAATTTGGCACACTTCTTTTTTTTCATGGGCTAAAAAAATTCTTAGTTTTCGTCCACTCGACCCAATGGCAATTAAATTTTTTTTCTTCGATATTCGTGATTTTCATTAGATCATACCAAATGAAAACAAACAACAATCATGCATTACCATATATGAAAATAACAAATTTGAAGCAAGCACAATTAATTGCCTTTGGATTGAAACGAACCAAAATGGCTAAATACTCATATTGGTATTTTAATTCAACCTCATTTGTCAAGAAGGTATTTTAAATAAAAAAATCGGCGTTAAGGCATTTTAATTGATTAAAATTACCAATTAGGTCCCTTTTCTCGTCGGCGACCACTTTTCCGGCGAGAACTCGTCACGTGCATTTTAATTCAACCGGTTTTCTGACGTGGCAGTGACAGGAAGAATAAGAGTCGATGCATTTTAAAATCCCTCATTTCTAAAATTGGTAAAAAAAATTAGCGAAAAATTAGTGGAGAAATTACCGTATAAATAGAACCTCTTTCTCTTGCATCGATCCGAAAAATTAGTGGAGAAATTACCGTATAAATAGAACCTCTTTCTCTTGCATCGATCCATGGCCGCGCCGGTGGTAATCTAGTCTGCAGTGATCTTCGTCTTCTCACTCTCTTCTCTTCGAATTCCCATGGCGTTTTCTTCTAGAAGTTCCTAGAATCGGGGGTTTTGGCTGCTTCTGTTAGCGGTAAAGGTAAGATAATTAAGTTGGATCTGAGATCTGGAGTGAATGCGTGGAAGTTTGATCTTTGTTTTGAAATTTTTAGGGTTCAGGTTGATTCGTTTTGGACTTAAATTGTGATTAAGCCACATCAGCAGCTAAAACCAAGCCACATCAACAAACCGAGTCACATCATCAGCTAAAACACAGATTAAGTCATCACGTGTTACGCACGTGACGAGTTCTCGCCGGAAAAGTGGTCGCCGACGAGAAAAAAGACCTAATTGGTAATTTTAATCAATTAAAATGCCTTAACGCCAATTTTTTTATTTAAAATACCTTCTTGGTAAATGGGGTTGAATTAAAATACCAATATCGGTATTCAGCCTAAACCAAAATTAACAAATATCATGGGCAACAAATCCCAAACTAGTTTCAGCATCTCAAACTTAAAAGATCACAAGAAAACCTACGTACGGAGGATTGTTTTCATGCAAAACCAAGATCAAAACGTACATGTAAAAATCAGGATTAACAGACATTCATCTTTCAAATTTATATCTAGAGTATTAGTGCTGAATCCACACAATTTTCTTTACATTCCTATGCGTGATTCTTTCACTCTAGATCAGTATATTTTACAAACTATACAATCTTCACCTTGAAAAAACAGGAAGCAGCAGCTCTTGAAACACAGGAAAAATTGAAAATAACTTCAGCAATTCCTCGATCTGATATAATTAGGAGGTAGAGAAGCACAATGTTCATTCATGTGGGGATAAGGGAGCATTGTGTTATAATCGGGCAATTCCATTCTATATTTTCCCTTAATTTGACAGAAAGGGAGTTTCACATCATCGTCTTTGTTGCACCACTCTGGGAGATTATTAGGGTTATCCTCGAAGAATTTGAGAGTATAAGCATCTTTTATCTGCATGTAGAAAGAGGAGCAAATACCAGTAAAACTTCCCATCAATTAATATAGGCCTAATTGTGGATAGACCCTCTGTACTACCGTCCAATTTCAGATAGATCCCCCGCTGGTTTTTTTTCCGAGACTTTTGCCCTATAGTCTATTTGCCAAAAAAATTATTCTATTTATCTGAGAGTAAAAGAATCAAAAAATAAGTTCACTCAGGGGATCTATATGCAACAATAGAACCATAGAGGCACTATCCACAGTTGGGCAATAGTACAGTGCTTCTATCGGCAATTAACCCATTAATATACAGGTCTAGGAGCAGGGATACGTTGCCAGCAAACATACACATAAGAAGTATTAAGCAACATTCACCTACATAAAAAAACTTGCGTAGGAGGAATAGGTTCATCCTCAGTACATAAATCCGTTTTCTTTTATAAAAATACCAGAAGAGAGGATAAAAGGGGTCAAAAAATTAATTTTCTTTGACTGCTTTCAAGTGCGAAATAAAGTAAAGCTACCACAAGTATATGCCTCGTTTTCTTTTTCTTTCACATGTCACAACTTTCCTAACAGACAATTGAAAAAGAAGAGAAAAAAAGAAGGGGGGAAAAAAAGAATGTTCACTTTCTTTGAAAAAAGTTAGACCACATAAGTTAATAAGAACTTACAGTGAACTCTGTCACTTGAATAGAGCTAGCAATTGGATCGAAGAGCCCTGCATGCTTATACATTTGAAGAATGAAAGCAACACAAGAAGTTGATTGCCCATCAGAATAGACCCAATCATCTTTCTCAGGAATCGTTAGAAGTTTGTCAAAAGATATGCCACGTTTTTCTGATTCAACGATTATCTTAGGAAGGTCAAGGCCCTACAAGATGAAAAGCAGAATGTCTTAAATTGGGTACGAAATACTGATATCCAACGTAGCTGAGGGTATAATTCAGACTATAAAGAAAGAGAAGCTGAAACCTAGAGCTGTCTATACTACGTAACGGAGAGTGACTTCTTTGATTAGGTATAAGGACATGGGAGGGTAAGGCTATCATCAGGTGCATTTTGTCAAATAAAAAAATGTTTCTTTTTCTCCCTTCATAACTACCTTTAATGGTGCATGTTTTAGACATCTGAGGAGAAGAGAATATAGAATACTTGTATTTTATGAATATTGAACAACTATGGCTACTGGAACTGTATGTTGTTGAGAAAAAAATTGATTTTAGTTTTCATCTAAGAAACCATCTATATAACCCACAATTTTTGTCCAATTACATCCCTTTCCACCTAATGACAATTAAATTCTCTCTCTTTAAACTTTGCGATTTTCATGGATTATAAGCGACTCTTTTGTCCATTCATTCATTTCGTCCTAATGGCAATTAGTTTTGACATAATTACAATTATTACGTGTACTTCAAAATTCACAATTGCCAACTATACTCCACGATATGCTTCTAATTTTGTCCATTTTGACAAAATAACAATTAATTATGTGACATAAAAATTAGTGATTTTCATGGGTTGAAACACGCGATTTTTATCAATTTTCATTTGTTTCACCCCCAATAGTAATTAAATTATTTTCCGTCACAATTCGTGATTTTCATAGGCTACATAACCTATGATTATTATCCATATTCATTCATTTCTAGTCTTGATCCTAATGGAAATTATTTGGCGTACTTCAAAATTTGCAATTCCATCCGTTTCGAGATAGAGGCAAACAATTATTTTTTTTCAAAATTCTGGATTTTTGTGGACTATAGGCCACTATTTTTGTTAGTTTTCGTTCGTTTCGAACCAATGACAATTGTGTTTTCTTTTGTCAAAACCTATTGTCATAGGCTATAACTTATAATTTCTGTTCATTTTCATTTGTTTCGACCTAGTAGAAATTTTTTGGTACACTTGTAATTTGCAATTTTCATGGGATAGTACCCCAGTTTTTGTCCATTTTCATCTTTTTCATCCTAATAGCAATGAACGTGTAATTCAAAATTTATGATTTTCATGAGTTCACATGATATTTGTCCCAATAGCAACGAACTTTGTAACTCAAAATTTGCGATTTTCATGAGTTATCACAAGTGATATTTATCCATTTTTATTTGTTTCGCGCTAATGGAAATTAATTTGCGTACTTTAAAATTTACAATTTTAATGGGTTATATAATCCATAATTTTTTTCCATTTTGTTTGTATTTACCTAATGAAAATCCTTTTTCCGTACTTCCAAGTTAGCAATTTTCATGAACTATAACCACAATTTTTGTTCATTTTCATCCGTTTTGACCTGGTGTAAGTTTTCTTTTTTCCAAAATCGTAATTTTCATGGACTATAACCCCCTATGTTTTGTTGGTTTTAGGGGTGTAGACCCAAACTTTGGAACAAGCATGCACAGCATGATTTTTTCTAAGTCTGGAAATCAGGCGAAGCAGGCAAACTTCGGTTCAGGCGAAGCAGGCAAACTTCATTTAGGCGAAGCAGGCGCACTTTGTAGTTCAGGCGAACTTCGCAAAAAACAGATTCCTATTTTGTTCGTTTTTAAGTTTCCCTATAAATAGGGATGTGACGGCTGCATTTTTCTTGCTGCTGTTTCTAATTTTTAAGAGCAATTTTAGTAGCGATTTTCAGAAAAAAATCCAACACTTTGAGATCAGAGATCTTAGAGAAAGAGATAGTTGTTTGCAGGCATTGTAATCTTCATCGATAATCAAAGAATTTCTGGTGTGGCTCCCTAGGACGTAGGCACGTTTGCCGAACCTTGTTAAATCTGGTGCTCTCTCTTCTTTATTTATTCTTTCCTGCAAGTTTTTTTGTTTTGCTGTGATTTCTTGTTTGCTATTCTTTCGACACAAGATCCGGAGAGCACGGGTTGTTGATTTTCTAACACCCAACAACTGGTATCAGAGCTTCGTTGGAAGTTTTAAGATCAATTTTAGCATCGATTTTTAGAGAAAATCCAACACTTTGAGATCAGAGATCTTAGAGAAAGAGATAGTTGTTTGCAGGCATTGTAATCTTCATCGATAATCAAAGAATTTCTGGTGTGGCTCCCTAGGACGTAGGCACGTTTGCCGAACCTTGTTAAATCTGGTGCTCTCTCTTCTTTATTTATTCTTTCCTGCAAGTTTTTTTGTTTTGCTGTGATTTCTTGTTTGCTATTCTTTCGACACAAGATCCGGAGAGCACGGGTTGTTGATTTTCTAACACCCAACAACTGGTATCAGAGCTTCGTTGGAAGATTTGTGTGAGAGATGATAGAAGAAAGCAAATCGAAGATTGAGAAGTTTGACGGATCAGACTTTGCCTACTGGAAGTCGCAGATGGAGGATTATCTGTACCAGAAGGATCTTTACTATCCGTTGATGGGAAAGCAAAGGGAAAGAAGGAGGAGACCGGCGAGGACTAGGAAATATTGGATTAAAAGGCTCTAGGCAGATCTGATTGTCGCTCGCAAAATCAATCACCCACAATATATTAAAGGAGAAAATGACGGTGGGACTTATGGAAGAGCTCACAAAGATGATCGAGCAACCGTCAGCAAGAAACAATGTTCATCTCGTCAAGATACTCTTCAACCTCAAGATGGCAGAAGGATATTCCTTCACGTTGCATCTCGACGAGTTCAACACGATTGTTGATCAACTCATCTCAGTCGACATCACGTTTGATGATAAAGTGCAAGCCCTATTGATACTATCGCAGTTGCCGGATAGTTGGGCAGGTTACGTGACCGTAATTAGCAACTCGACAGGAAAGGAGAAGTTAAAGCTGAGCGAGGTTGTTAGTATGATTCTATCCGAGGATGTTAGAAGAAAATCGTCTGAATCAGAAGGTTTAGGTTCAGCCCTAAATCTCGAACAGAGAGGCCGAAGCCAGAAGAATGATAACCAGAACAGGAATTAGTCGAAGTCAAAGAAGAAGAGGTCGAACTCGAAGGTTAGGCATATCAAAGGGAAGTGTTGGAATTGTGACCAGGAGGGTCATATGTCTTCAGTCTGCAAAGCACCAAAGAATGATACGAATGAGCAGGAGGCTCATATCGTGAAAGATGCCTTGATCCTTACTATAGACAGTGACACTGATTCATGGGTTATTGATTCGAGAGTCTCATTTCACGCCACTGTTAATAGAATGCTTCTTCAGAACTTTGTAACAGGGAACTTTGGAAAATTGTACTTAGAGGACAATGAGCCTTGCAGTATTATGGGAAGAGGTGATGTACAGATACAGATGAAGGACTCTAAGTGGTGCCTGAAGAATGTCAGACATGTACCGAAGTTGAAGAGGAATCTCGTTTCAGTTGGCCAACTTGGAGTAAAATGTTATGTTTCGACATTTACTTGGGATTCGTGAAAGATTTCTAACAGTACTATGGTAGTTGCCCACGGCAACAAAACCGGTATTCTCTACCTAACTTCACATGCGAGTGACACCCTCGCAGTTGCAGCTGGCAAAAAAAGTATAGATCTATGACACAATAGGTTGGGACACATGAGTAAGAATGGTATGAAGATTCTACACTCATAAGAAAAGCTATCCGTATCAATTCAGTAGAAGTTGGTGTTTATGAAGACTGCATCTACGGGAAGCAGAAGAGGATCAGCTTTCAGAAGAGTGGAAGAACACCCAAAGCTCACAAGCAAGAGCTTGTTCATACAGATGTATGGGTCCACCTAGCGTGTCTTCTCTTGCCGGTTCGATGTACTGCGTCACCTTTATCGACGATCACTCGAGAAATGTGTGGTATACTTCATAAAGTACAAGTCAGAGGTGTTTGGAATCTTCAAAAGATAGAAGATCGTGATGGAGAACGAGACAGATCTGAAGGTGATGTGTCTGAGATCAGACAATAGTGGAGAATATAAGTTGGAGGAGTTCAAAAAGTTTTGTGCTCTGAATGGAATTCATTTAGAGAGGACTACTCCAGGGACACTGCAACAGAATGGCATTGCAGAGAGGATGAACAGAACGTTGACAGAACGTGCAATGAACATGTGTTTACATGCAGGTCTACCAAAAACATTTTGGACGAACGCGATGCATACAACAGATTAATTAATAATGGGCCATCAGTTATATTAGATTTTGGGATTCCAGAAAATATTTGGAGTGGCAATAAGATTAACCTCTCACACTTGAGAATATTTGGTTGTGTGGCATATGTTCATATTAGTGACCATGTCAGGGACAAGCTAAAAGCTAAGTCACAGAAGTGTACATTCATTAGAAACGACATTAATGGGTTCGGATATCGTCTGTGGGATGATAAGAATAGGAAGATCATCAGGAGTAGAGATGTCATATTTAATGAAGAGGTGATGTATAAGGACAGAGATCATGTTAAGGATAGCCAAAGCAGTGAGAGCAACACTAAGGATGCAGGTAAATCCGAATACATGGATTTGGAGGAACTTCCAAATGGGGGAGAATATCAGTTCTGACCGAAGAACGGAGGAGACTCCAGATGTAGAGACAGCCAGACAGGTACCCAGGGCGATGAGCTTAGGAGGTCATCTAGAGTACCCAAACCGAATCCCAGATATCTTTCGTCGCTAGATTACTTGTTTTTGACAGATAGTGAAGAACCAGAGTGCTATGAGGAGATAATGCAAGTTAGTGAATCTCAGCAGTGGGAGCATGTGATGCAAGAAGAGATAGATTCTATACACTTGAATGAGACATAAGAGTTAGCCCAGCTACCTGCGCAGAAGAAAGCCTTACATAACAAGTAGGTCTACTGGGTCAAGCAGGAGAGTGATGAAAGCAAAAGGTACAAGACCAGATTAGTTGTGAAAGGGTTCCAACAAGGAGAATGAGTGGATTATATGGAGATATTTTTCCCCGTCGTGAAGCTTACAACCATC